GAATTCCTAGGCAGCTCTTGGGTGCAAATGAATCGGTTCATCCTTAACAAAGGCCTTTGGCTAAATGAGGTAATGTTTTGGAGTGTTGGTAAAGGTTTTAAAAGATTTAATATTACATGGGAATCAATACAGCACTTGTAAGGTTTATTTTGTTGGCACTGACAGAAGTCAGTGGCTGTGGAGTTTATTTCTTTAAAATATTCAGCAGTTATTTGATAACATTTATTTTGTTCTAAATTATGCATTTTATGTATGAGTTAAAGATGTCAGCATCAAATTAAATATACAAAAGTAATTTTATATGCATAGAAAGCATGTAATAATGCGAATAATAATACCTGCTTTAATGTTTCAAACATCTTTTTTGGAAATAAACTTGTTTATGAAACAATACTTATAGCAGATGTATTTATCATTGGGATGCTCAAAATAATCAATTAATCGTTAACCGAAAGGGTGCGTTTGTAACTGATTAGTGGTATCAGTTAAACAAATAAAAAATATTATTTTAGATAGTTTTAGAATTTGGATGCATAAGAGGGCGATCAAATGCGCTTTTTTGCATTAAGAGAGGCATCTTTTTAATGGTTTACTAAAAGCTGCAAGTGTTTTGCACGCGGCTCAACCCAGAGCAGTGATTGTGTTGTCAAGACAACTACAGAGAACTTTTAAAGAGCATGGTTCCCTCTACATTCATTCTTCCATGGCGAGGCGCCACACCAAAACGCATCCCTCCAAAGCTACATTACAGCTTTTCGTTCAAAACATTTAGTCGTTGTTGTTGTTGTTTTTAATAGCGGGTTATGATTGTATTAAAATGTAAGTGAATTATAACAGCAAAAGCTTTTCTGTAACCGTAGTAGGGATGTGCGCTATTTGTTAAACCCTTTGAGGTTACGTGCTAACTGACTGACTGATAGGTACATGAAGCATGAAGCCAGGAAACACGGCGTAGCTTTCAGTTATGATGAACACAGTTTCCATAATTATACTTTATTTATAGATAAAGGTCTGTGGCTCTGCATATATTGACTTTTTCTTGCTGGAATTTATGGCTGTTTCACTTTACTTCAGGATGCATTGATGCCGCTCTAAGTCTATTAGAGACAATAAGAAATATTCCTAGCAAATCTTATGAATGTTGGAGACATGCTCACTACTTAAATGTGCTAAATCGCATTTCAGCAGTGTTTATTTGAGAGCGCACAAGAAGATCTGCGCTTGACCAGCGAATATTTGAGGGGGTGTGCAAGAGGTTTTGTTCACAAGCAGAGGAAATCGGCGTGCTTCTTTTTTCCATGTCAACATAAAAGGT